AAAAACAAAATAATCATTTTTTTATTTATTTAATTTGCAAACTACCAGCAGCAGCAGCAGCAGCAGCAAGAGCGATCGCAGCAGCAGCAGCAGCAGCAGCAGCAGCAGCAGCGGGTCCCGCAGGCACAGCAGCAGCAGCAACAAGAACAGCGAGTCTCACAAAAGCAGCAACAGCAGCCGAAACAGCAGCAGCAGCAGCAGCAGCAGCAGCAACAGCAGCAGCAGCAGCAGCAGCAGCAGCAGGAGGGGTTTGAGGTGTCTGTACAGCTGACGTTCTCTTTCTTCGGAGTCCGGATGAATTTTCTTTTTTGCTTTTTTCATTTCTTTTTCCAAAAAAGAAATTATGTCTTGTAAAAAAGCTCTTGTGGGAAAGTCTATTCCAACACTCTGAAAATAAATAAATAAAAACAATTTATTTAATTTATTTATTTATTTATTTTCAGAAATTCATTTCCTATTTTTCATTTATTATTTTTCTAAATTCTGCATTTCTTGTTTTTCATTTTTTGCATACTTTTCATTTATTCTTCCTTTAACTAATTAACTAATTAAATAATTAATTAATTAATCAATTTATTTATCTATTTTCCATTAATAATTAATTAAATAATTAATTAATTAACTAATTAATTAATTAATTAACTTATTTATTTATTTATTTATTTATTTATTTATTTATTTATTTATTTGATTTACAGTTACGGTGATTTCGACGACAAAAACTCCTTCGGTGGTCGTCAGCTCCAGTTGGTCTGCAAAATGAATTTAAATAAAAATTAAATTAAATTAAATTAAATTAAATTAAATTAAATTAAATTAAATTAATTAAATTAATTAAATTTGATTAATTAAATTAAATTAAATTCATTTGATTTGATTGAATTTAAATAAAATTAATTAACTTGAAGTAAAATTAATTAAATTAAACAAATAAAGAATAAAGAGAATAAATAAGTAAATAAACAAATTAATCAATAGATAAAATCATTAATTGATTAATCAACTAATTGATTAATTAATTAATTAAATTAATTAAAAATAAAAACAGATAATTAGATAAATGCAAATAACCAGTAATAAAAAATAAATGAAAACACAATAAATAAAAATCGAATAAATGGATTTAGAAAAACAAATTAAAAAAATAATAAATGAGGAAATAAGAAATTAATTAAAAATCAAAAAGAGACAAATAAAATAACAAAAACAAAAACAAATAAAATTAATTAATAATTTCAAAACTGAATAAACAAATAATAAATGAAAAAATAACAATCAAACAAAATAAAAAAGATAAAAATAATAAAAAGAGGAAATAAAAACAAAATTAAAAAATAAAAAATAAATAAAAATAAAAATAAAAATAAAAATAACAAACCTGAGCCGGGGCCGAACATATTTGTCATTGAAAGTATACACGCATTCAAAAACGCCTTCTCCTGCATGCAAACCCTAACCCCTAAACCCTAAACCCTAAACCCTAAACCCTAAATCCTAAACCCTAAACCCTAAGCCTTAAATCTGACGCACAGCAAAATTAGCAGCAGCAGCAGCAGCAGCGGGAGCAAAATGAGCAGCAGCAGCAGCAGCAACAGAAGCAAAACGAGCAGCAGCAGCAGCAACAGCAGCAAAATGAGCAGCAGCAGCAGCAGCAGCAGCAGCAGCAGCGGCAGCAGCAGCAGCAGCAGCAGCAGCAAAATGGGCTGACGCCTTCTTCTTCAACTTCTGGAAAGAAGTCCGGCCCATTTCCTTTTCTGGAAAGAAAAGAAAAAATTCCTTTCTGCAGAAAATTAAAAAATTAAACAGATTATTATTTAATTAATTTAATTAATTAATTAAATTAATTAAATTAATTAATTAAACTAATTAATTAATTAATTAATTGATATAATTAATTAATTTAATTAATTAATTTAATTTAATTAATTTAATTAATTAATTAATTACCTTTTTTGGCTTAGGGACTCCTTTTAAAGTTCGAAGATTCCATTCTGCTTTTGCCATTTGCAAAATGGCAAAAAGAAGAAAAAACAAAAAGTGCCAAAAGAGGCATTTGCTGCCTCTCAGCTTCATTTTGCTGCTGCTGCTGCTGCTGCTGCTGCTGCTGCTGCTGCTGCTGCTGCTGCTGCTCCTGCTGCTGCTGCTGCTGCTGCTGGGGTTCCTGTAATGCCTCTGTGAGATATGGAGAAGTTTGAACTCCGAAAAGAAATTGAACTCAAAAAAAATTGAAACGAAAAACAAATTAAATCCCTAAAGGTCCAAATGACCTGCAGACTGCAGCAGCAGCAGCAGCAGCAGCAGCAGCAGCTGCAGCAGCAGCAGCAGCAGCAGCAGTCTGGGGCCCAAATGGCCCGAATAAGCAGCAAATTAAGCAGAAGTGGAGTTCAAAGACAAGCTGGGTCTGGGAAAAGCCATTTGGAGTTTGAGGGAGCAGCAGGAGGCCCCAAAGAGCTCCAAGTTGGGAAAAAAGAAACAAAAAAAAGAAAAATAAATCAAATTAATAAAAGAAATTCAAATTTATTTCTTTTTAATTCAACAAAGATTCCATTTCTCCGTTTTTAAGCAAAGAAACGCGCGGGCGACTCCGCGGCTCCGGGGCCCCCGGCCCCGAGCGGACGGAATCCGCGACAAATTCCTTGACTTTTTTCCTTTTTTTTTAAATTTAACTTTTTATTTGAAAAGCATTTCATAAATTAATTCTAAAATTTATTATTTGAAGTTTATTTGGCCTTTTTTTCGGCGCTTTCGGGCGCGCGGAGCGCGCTGGGAGTCTGGGGTGTACGTACACCCGGGAACGTGGCTGAAGTGATCTTTGAAATTTCGCACAAGTTGGCCATTTTTGATTCATTTTAATTCTTTTTGAGCTTTTTTCTTTTCAATTATCATTTCTGTCTTTGTTTTTGACTTTTTGGGTGCTCAAACGCCGCAAATGCACCAAGTTTTCCTCTTTCTTTCCGGAAATTCCCAAATTCAAAACTCGCGAGTCTACACATTTGCCATTTCAAGACCGAAAGCATTCTTTTACTTTTTCCCTTCTCTCCCTGCAGTATAGAGTTCAGTTTTGCTTTCGATTGAAGTACAATGAGCCAAAAAAAAGAAAAAACGAAACAAAGCTAAACCCTAAACCCTAAACCCTAAACCCTAAACCCTCAAGTTGGAAATTTTAAGCCGTTTTCTGCTGTCTCTGCAGACACCTGAACGGCCCTCAGCTGAGGTGTACGTACACCCCGGCTTGTGTTCACTTTTTACTTTAAATTAAATCCAAATTTATTCCATTTAAACAATCCCTCCATTACCTAGTCCTAAACCCTAGCCAAGGGCCTCCACACACTCGCTAAACCCTAAACCCTAAACCCTAAACCCTAAACCCTTGCCCTTGATTGCCCTGGGGCCCCTAGGGGCCCCTGGGGGGCCCCAGAGGGCCCGTGGGCCTCAGGGTCCTTGACTGGAAATGTTTATTTTCGGAAAGTTCATTTTAATCAAATAAAATAAAACAAAATTAAATTAAATTAAATTAAATTAAATTAAATTAAATTAAAATGGATTTATTTGAAGCCCCACAATTCACTTTTTGTAAATTAAATTTTAATAAATCTTTTTGCTGCTCGACCCCGCTAGGGACTTGTAGGTTTGAGGCAGCAGCAGCAGCAGCAGCAGCAATAGCAGCAGCAGCAGAAGCAGCAGCAGCAGAAGCAGCAGCAGCAGTGGCAGCAACACAGGTGGCAATAATACACAGGCAGCAGCAGCAACAGCAACAGCAGCAGCAGCAGTAGCAGCACAGCAGCGGTGGCAGCAACACACCAGCAGCAGCAGCAGCAGCAGCAGCAGCAGCAGCAGCAGCAGCAGCAGATGCCAGAAGGGCTTTTGAGTGGAGAAAAGAGAAAAGAAGGAAAAATAAATAAATAAAAAAGTAAAAATAAAAATTAAATACTTAAAATATAAATAAATGGTGGAAGTGGCAAAAAATAAACAAAAAGGACACAAAAGAGGAATTTGCTGCCTCTCGGCCTTCGCTGCTGCTGCTGCGTGCCCGGGAACGCAGCAGCAGCAGCAGCAGCAGCAGCAGCAGCAGCAGCATTTTGCTGCCGCAGCAAAAAGTAGAATTAAATAATTAAATTCAAAAAGAAATAATTTAAACTTTTAATTCTTTTCGCTTTTGCTGCTGCTGCCGAAAAGAAGGCCACGAAAGCAGCGGAACGAGCCCCTGCCCGCTGCTGCTGCCTCCGCCGCTGCTGCTGCTGCTGCTGCTGCTGCTGCTGCAGCAGCAGCAGCAGCAGCAGCAGCAGCAAGGCGCACACCATTCGCAGCAGAATTGTTAATTGTTGACTTTTAAAGGAGTTTAAATTTCTTTGCGGAGATTCTCGAGGGGTAATTTCCAGAAAAGATTCGAAGCAGCAGCAAGTGAGTTTGGGCCAGTGGTTCGTGTGCAGCAGCAGCAGCTGCTGCGCTGCAGCAGCAGCTGCTGCAGTTGATTTTAATTTTAATTCTTTGCATTTATTTGCACTTTATTGAAGTCTTAGAGGCTTTGCTGCAGTCAATTCCGCGTTTTCCCGCTGCAGCAGCAGCTGCTGCTGCTGCTGCAGCGCAGCAGCAGCAGCAGCAGCAGCAGCGAGGCTCGTGTGTAGCTACACCCCGGCGCAGCATCGAAGTGCTGCACTTTGGCCAGTTGCTGCTGCTGCTTTTTATTCGAAGCAAACCAAACAAACCAATTCCCCACCCCTCACTGAGACAGCAGCAGCAGCAGCAGCAGCAGCAGCAGCAGCAGCAGCAGCAGCAGCAGCAGCAGCAGCAGCAGGAGCAGCAGGAGCGATTGTGTCCTGGCAGGCCCGCTTCACCCCTTAGCCGCGCGGCCTGTTGTCCCTCTTGCTCGCGCGCCCCGCTGCTGCTGCTGCTGCTGCTGCTGCTGCAGACGCTGCTGCTGCTGCTGCACCTGCTGCTGCTGCTGCTGCACCTGCTGCTGCTGCTGCTGCTGCTGCTGCTGCTGCTGCTGCTGCTGCAGGATGAGTCTGGAGGAGGCGTTTCGCGTGTACACGAAGGGGGCCGCGGAAATGGACGGAAGGACCTTCGCGAAAATGCTGAAGGACTGTGGGGTGTTGAGCAGCAGCAGCAGCAGCAGCAGCAGCAAACTGACAGCAGCAGAAGCAGACTTGCTTTTCGCCAAAGTCAAAGACAGAGGCAGCAAAAAGATTTCTTTTCAACAGTTCCAACAAGCCCTCCAACTCCTCGCAGAAAAAACCAAAATGGACCTCCAAACGCTCCAGCAGAAGCTCGCAACAGGTTCGGGTGTACAGGCAGCTCTTCGGGTGTATAGGCAGCTCAGTTGGGGTGTATAGGCAGCTCGTGGGGTGTATAGGCGGCTCCTGGGGTGTATAGGCAGCTCGTGGGGTGTATGGGCAGCTGTTTTGGGTGTATAGGCAGCTGTTTTGGGGTGTATAGGCAGCTGAGTTGGGGTGTATAGGCAGCTCTTCGGGTGTATAGGCAGCTGTTTTGGGGTGTATAGGCAGCTGTTTTGGGGTGTATGGGCAGCTGTTTTGGGGTGTATAGGCAGCTCGTGTGGTGTATGGGCAGCTCAGTTGGGGTGTATGGGCAGTTGGCTCTTGGGGTGTATAGGCAGCTCTTCGGGTGTATAGGCAGCTCGTGGGGTGTATAGACAGCTGGGAGGGCGCCCCGACGCGCTGTGAACGCCGTTCCGCCGCTGCTGCTGCTGCTGCTGCTGCTGCTGCTGCTGCTGCTGCTGCTGCTGCTGCTGCAGAGGGCAGCGAGGGTCCGATATTGACGGGGACGAAGGCGGAGAAAGTTCGTTTCCACGACGACAAGAGTACATACACCGGAGTGCACAAGATGGGGGGCCCCACAACAGTAGATGACGGGAGAGTTCAGTTTAATGATTTGTCGAAGTTTTGTGACAGATCTGAATATGATATTCGAGGAGTTAAAAAGGGAATTATCGAGAACAAAACGGGAGACAGCAAGTAGCTGCTGCTGCTGCTGCTGCTGCTGCTGCTGCGGCGGTCAAGTTGCAGCTCGAACGGCCGCAGGAGCTGCGCGCGCTGCAGCGGGAGCGCCTGCTGCAGCTGCTGCAGCAGCTGCTGCAGCTGCTGCTGCAGCTGCTGCTGCTCGGCTGCTGCTGCTGCAGCGGGAGAGGGCACGGGGGATTCGCGGGGCGCGGCGGCAGCTGGGAGTTGCTGCAGCAGCAGCGGACTGCTGCTGCTGCTGCTGCTGCTGGCACCGCGCTGCAGCAGCAGCAAGTTCTGCTGCTGCTGCTGCTGCTGCTGCTGCTGCGCCCACTTTCTTGGCAGCGTGATTTCGACAAGATTTGTGCTTTCTGTCCAGACACCTCAGCGACAGAACAACTCTTGAATTGGAATTTGAATTCAATGCAGTTTCTCCAAACACCTTCCGCGCAATTAGTGTTAAACAAAGGGTTTAGGGTTTAGGGTTTAGGGTTTAGGGTTTAGGGTTTTGGCGAGTGTTTGCGGGAGTCCGCAGTGCTGCATTGCAGCTTTCTGTTCAGACTCGACTTAATGAACTATTGCGGGATCTTCCAAAACTTACTTTTTTTTATCTTGAGAACAATTGAAGAAATAAAATAATTCAAATTAAAGAAATTAAAGTCTTCAACGCAAATTCAGATTTTTGAACGGAGCGGCTTTGGTGGGAATGGAAGAGGTCTTGGTGGGTGGAAAAGGGGTGGATCTGAGGCTCCTTTTGCGGAAATTGAGCGCGAATTAGTTCATAAATCATTAAATTCGGAGGGAAAATCCCAAAAAGAAATAAAAAGGAGCAAAAGTGAAGTAAAAAGAAATAAAATTGCGGAAATGAAGACCCGTGCAAGAAAGCTGTACGTGGTGTATGTACACGTTTCGGCTGCGGTTGGTACGGCCCGCGAACGGATGTTTGGCTTCATTTTTGAGGCCTTTGGAGTCGCTGAAAAGGGGGAAATATCGGGAAATTTGAAAAGTGATTATTTTTCCGTTCAAATGAAACGAAAACGGGCGAAAGAACTGGTTTTTTTCCGCTTCTTTTCCGAAAGTTCAACTTCGGTTCGCGGGCTCCCGCTGCCAGCAAATCGGCTGCGGCGCCGACGGTCCACTGCAACAAAGGCCGGATCAAAAGCCCTTTAATGGCGCTAATATTAAAAAGAAGAAATTTCTTTTATTTTGAATCCAAACGCATGCAAAAACTCCGGAAAAAAAGGCAGTTTCGATTCTCTTCTTGAAGTCCATCTGCCGCCTCTCCCGATGCTGTGCTCGGGAGCCTCCGGCAGCTGATCTGCAAGAAGAATGCGCCATTTTCTTCTGCTTTTTCTGAATTTAATTTATTTATTTGAATTAAAGTTAAATTCACTGAAAAGAAACAAATATTTCCGCCAAAGACCTGAGTTCTGAATCGCCCGGGCTCCCGCCGCCGCCAGAATGCCCTAGCGATAGCGCGGCCTCTTTTGCGAGATTTTCTTCTTTTCACTCTTTTCAAAATGAAGTCCATTTTAGGACTTCTGCCCCTCCTGTGTCTCCTTTGGGCCTCTGCATCGCGCAGCAGCGCAGCAGCAGCGCAGCAGCAGCAGCAGCAGCAGCAGCAGCAGCAGCAGCAGCAGCAGCAGTCTTTCCTGCAGGCCAGGCGCGAGCGGCCCAGGGGCCCCCAGAGGCCCCCCACGAGGCCCCTCGAGCCCCACCAGCTCTTCCAGAGGCCCCAAAGAAGGGTAGGGTGGGGGGGCCCCCTGCAGCAGCAGCAGCAGCAGCAGCAGCAGCAGCAGCGGCGGGGGCAGCAGCGGCAGCCTCCGCGAGTGGTCCAAGTGGCCGCAGGCCCTGCTGCTGCTGCTGCTGCTGCTCCTGCTGCTGCTGCTGCTGCTGGCAGGGGCCGGCAGCTCGGGCGCGCAAGGGCCCCCGAGACCCAAGTGCCCCTGGGGCCCCCGCAGGGGCCCTATGGGCCCCTCAGGGGGCCCCTCAGGGGCCCCTATGGGTACCCGGGGGGCCCCCAAGAACCCCTCTGGGGGCCCCCTGAGTACCCCTTGCAGCAGCAGGTTCCTGCTGCTGCTGCTGCTGCTGCTGCGCCCGTTGAGCAGCAGCTGCTGCCATCTGAGCCGGAGGGCCCTGCGCGCGCGCAGCCAGCAGCAGCAGGAGCAGCAGCAGCAGCGCCTTTTGCTGCTGCTCCTGCTGCTGCTCCTGCTGCAGCAGCAGCTGCTGCTGCTGCGTGGCAGACTGAGGCGGTGCTGCAGGAGCTGTCTGCTGCTGCGTCGCAGCTGCTGCGGCAGCCGGGCCGCGAAGCAGAACCCGCAGCAGCAGCAGCAGCAGCAGCAGCAGCAGCAAGCCTGCGGGCGCTGCAGCACTTGGCGCTGCCGGACTTGAGCAGCCCCCCACTTGCTGCAGCAGCAGCAGCAGCGAGCAGCCCCACACTTGCTGCAGCAGCAGCAGCAGCAGCAGCAGCTCTGACTTTTGCTGAAGTTTATTCTGTCCCCGAGAAGCAGCTGCTGCTGCGGAAAGTACCCTTTTATAACCGGGGGCCCCTCCACCAGGGGCCCCTTGCTGCAGCATTTGAGTTGGAGGCTGGGGGGGCCCCCCTGAGTACCCTTTATGGGGGCCCCCTGCAGCTGCGGCTGCCCTTTGGGCCGCTGCTGCTGCTGCAGCGCAGCAGCAGCAGCACGGAGGAGCCCCCCGGGCTTCCTGCTGCAGTGCTGGCAGCAGCAGCAGCAGCAGAGCAGCACACGCAGCGGGCGCTGCGGCTGCTGCAGCGGCTGCAGCAGCGCGCAGCAGCAGCAGGCGTCCCTGCTGCAGCAGCAGCAGCAGCTTCCGCGCTGCTGCTGCCGCTTTTTGCTGCTGAAGTCTCCAGATTTTCCCAACACTTTGCTTGGACTGGACTTTTTGTCTTTTCTCCGCATGCAACTTTAACTCCTTCTTTTGCATGCACTTTGCATGCGCTTTTGGGGCTGCCAGCCCCAAAAAGGCGCCACGCTGCAGCAGCAGCAGCAGCAGCAGCAGCAGCAAAGGCCCGGGGGCCCCTCCTGGGGGCCCCCCTGGCCGGCCAGGGGCCCCCGGGGGCCCTCCCGCTTCCCGAAGAGTCTGAAGAGGGGGCCCCCGGGGCCCCGGAGGGGCCCCTGGGGGCCCCTTTGGGGGCCCCCGGGGCCCCCCGGGGGGCCCCCGGGGCCCCCCGGGGGGCCCCCGGGAGCCCCCGGGGGGCCCTGGGGGCCCCTTTGGGGGCCCCCGGGGGGCCCCCCGTGGTGCTGTCTGCTGCAGCAAGAGAGCATGCAGCGCTGCGGCTGCTGCATGCAGTTGCGCAGTTGCATGCATTGGGGCTTTCTTTTGGGGCTTTGTCTTTGGAGTCAGCTGTAGTGACAGCTGGGGGGGAAGTTTATCTTTCGGACTTGGAGGCCACTGCAGCAGCGGGAGACCGAGTGCCTTGCGCAGCAGCAGCAGCAGCAGCAGCAGCAGCAGCAGCAGCAGCAGCAGCAGCGGCGCCGCTGTGCGTCTTCGAGCAGCAGCAGCTGCAGCAGCAAATCCGCCACGAGTCGCTGCAGCTGGCGTTTCTTCTTTTTCAAGTTTTGACTCATGGCCAAATGCCTTTTGGATTAGAAAGGGATTTAACTCCCACTGAGGCTTTGCATGCGCTGCAGCAGCAGCAGCAGCAGCAGCAGCAGCAGCAGCAGCAGCAGCAGCACGTCCTCCAGCAGGAGCAGCAGCAGGAGCAGCAGTCGGAGGAGGAGCAGCAGCAGGAGCAGCAACCGCAGCTGCTGCAGCTGCAGCAGGTGCTGCTGCCGCAGCCGGCGCAACCGCTGCAGCAGCAGCAGGTGCTGCAGCAGCAACAGCAGCTGCAGCTGCTGCAGCAGCAACAGCAGCTGCAGCTGCTGCTGCAGCAGGAGGTGCAGCAGCAGCAGCTGCTGCTGCAGGAGCAGGAACGGGTGGCGGAGCAGCAGCAAGAAGCGCTGCAGCGGCAGCAGCAGCAGCAGCAGCTGCTGCTGCTGCAGCAAGGAGACCTTTGCCAGTTCGCAGGAGTGTCTCCTGAAACTTTTGCTGCTGCACTTAAAACACAAGGCACGGGGGGCCCCCAGGGGGGCCCCTCGGGGGCCCCCACGGGGGCCCCCACGGGGGCCCCCACGGGGGCCCCCACGGGGGCCCCCACGGGGGCCCCCACGGGGGCCCCCACGGGGGGCCCCCCGGGGGGCCCCCCGGGGGGCCCCTGGGTAAAGTGTTTGCTGTCTTTGTTGGGGTGTGGGGCCCCACAGTTGACAGCTGTGGAAGCTGTTCAAGTTTATTTTCCTGAAGTGATTTTATTTAAATAAAAACAAATTATTTATTTATTTAAATTAAATCCAAATTCTTTCTTTTATTTAATTAAATTCAAATTCTCAACTTTGGGGCTGCATGCGCCTTTTGCTGCTGCTCCTGGAGCCGCTGGAAGCCGCAAGACACGCAGCAGCAGCAGCAGCAGCAGCAGCTGCTGC